GGGATGAGCACCAAGAGTTTTGCAAATTTGAATCACCTGATTTTCATTTCTGCTCAAGCACCAGAGTGGCCAGTCCATAGTATTACTGTGTGCTGTGGTCCACTCCAATTAGGGGATGATAGACCCGACACAGCGAACACCTGGCTGCAGGAGTGGTGCGCGTAGAGGGCCAGCGGACGGGGCTGAAATGCGGTGCTCAGAAGTGTCAGCCTAGAAAGACCATAGCAAATCAAAACTGATTTGGTTACAGATAAGGTACATTAGAAGCTGTTGTATATGCCTCTTAGCTAGTCAGTTATTTTTTCATGATTGACTTGAATTTTAAACCCCTAGCTTTCAAGGACCAGAATCTCTTCAAAATTCATCTTACCTGCCTTATTCCTTACTCCAAACCCACAAGGCACTTGTCCTGATGAGATTTGTCATTAGTGTGCATTTTACTGCTCAATTTCTAGGGCTTCTAAAATGAGGCTGAAATGTTAGAAGGTGTTTTACGTCCTCCAGCACAGTTTCTAGAACATAATTTGAACCTAGTTGCTTGGTTCATTATCAGCAGTATAAAAGCCATCAAGAATGTTTTTCCTGGCATGTCATATTTTGCCACTAACAGCAACTCTGTTCTTAAATAACATGTCGTTTCAGACATGGGTCATGCTGTAAAAGCCCTACAACCTCGGTGTCTTTAAATGGTAATAGGTTCACTTCTAGATTGAGACAGAGGTACCTAGGAAGCCTGCATGTTGTTGTAACGTCCAAGATGGTTATCAAAATCCACCTGCAGTTGTTGCCCATGAAAGTCTGGATTTTACCAGGGCATGGTGGTGCACACCTGTAATCCCAGCACTTGGGGAGGCCAAGCTGGGCGGATCACTTGAGGTCAGGAGGAATCTGAGACCAGCCTGGCCAATATGGTGAAACCCTATCTCTACAAAAAATAGAAAAATTAGCCAGGCATGGTAGTGCATGCCTGTAATTCTAGCTACTCGGGAGGCTGAAGCTGGAGAATTGCTTGAACCCAGGAGGCAGAAGCTGCATTGAGCCGAGATTACACCACTGTACTCCAGCCTGGGCAACAGAGTGAGATTCTGTCTTTAGGGGGAAAAAAAAAAAATCTGGCTTTTGCGGGTGTCAGAAATGGGGTGTGGTCCTGCCCTGCTCCTGGGCAGTATGGAAATGAGAGCCCAGGAGTGTCATCTGGGCATACCACAGTTGGGGAGGGGAGGACACTGTGGACTTCCTGTGTTTTTGCCTATTCAGGACCTCTCTAGAAAGGAAAGTCAGATGAAAGAGTACAGCACAGTGTGCCCAGGCAAAGACCAGCATGGATGCATCTGCAGGCACCTCTGTTCAGCAGTCTCTCTTGCTGTCTGTGTAGCTCAGCACAGCACAGCGCTCAGCACTGGGGACCACCTGGCCCTGGGCTTCCTGTCTTAGGGGAACAGCCTTGATGGTTGTTAACTGCAGCTTCTGGGTTCTTCTAGGGCAAAGGGACAGTATTTTTAGTTTGACAGTTCTAGATATATTCTAAATTCCCTTACGGGGCAGATAAAAGGAGAATCAGGGAAACTTTGAGCTGTGATTACATTTAACATAACCTTTTTCTTGCAGTTTTCAAGAGTTTAACTGGTGAGGAACCGTTGCAGCTCCCTAAGGGCTCACACACAGAGATTTTCTTGGTAAAAGTCCAGAGCAGTACCATTCGTTAGCCATTGTCTTCCCACTTGCCACCTTGCTTGTATAAAACAGGATACAGTTACTGTTTAGAACAAATCATCAGTTAGAAAGGCGAAATGTTCCATTTTCTACAAACAGCTGCAGTAGCATGCCAGATTGTCCTCACTGGTGTTGATTAATTGAACAGATTTTGGAATGTGTCATCTTTCGTTATAGCCATTCATGGTCCTCCGCCTTCCTCTTACAGAAAAAGAGGATTTCTTTGAGATCTGGTCGCTTTTACTGCCATATAATTACATTTGTTAAATGTTCTAAGAAAATCAAGCAACTGATGTTCCTTGGATCCAGGAATTCAAGAGATGTAGCACGTAGAGCTGATCACTGTCTTCTTTTTCCAGATGCGTGTTTTTGGGAAACATAGTTCATGTGCATTATCATCACTGTTCCCTATGGACAGCCTCTCATGGCAGGAACTAGCTTGTATGCGTTGACAGGCTCCAACTCAGTCAGCTGCCCTTCCTCCAGCCCCTCCCACCACAGCCCCTGCCCAGGCTCTCAGCTCTTGTTGGGCCGTGATCAGGTGTTCATGCCTCACTGTTACCAAGCCTGACAACAGACGGGGGCTGGAATGATGGAGTGAGATCATCAGCTTTAAAGAATACCAAGGACTGGGGGCCTCAGGGTTATCTGTGAAATTTCCTATATTCAGAATTGTGATGAATGTGTTGCTGAAGTGACAGAGTGAATGCTGTCTCTTAATTCTTAGCTGACACCCGGCAAGAGTCCCTCCTCCTCCAAAAGGGTGTCCAGCACCTGCCCCTGTTGACTGTGTGGCCAGCCTGGGTACTGAACCTCACCAGGCTGGAGTGAGTCCTGCTGTGCAGAAACAGGAACACTCAGCAAAATAAGGCTGTTGGTGAGGAGGATTGTTTATTTGAAATGTGATTGGCACGTCAGAATCTGAACATTAAGGTTTTAGCTGCCTGTATGCTCTAGAGAGTTTTTATACTGTGTGGCTCAACTGCAGATATGCCATCATTCCCAGCTCCTTCTGTTTTTACTGTAGCTAAAAATACTGCTGAAGGTATTTCATCTAAAAGATGCATGTAGCTTGCTTGGTATAAATACTGGAACCAATAACTTTATAAGGGGGTGGAGATTTCCCCAAACCTCAATAACTTCTAGAAATGCTGACTGCAATTACAGTGGTCTGTTTGCAGAAGGAGAGAGGGCCTCTGAGTTCAGTGAGTTACACAGAGCAGGGAGCCACAAATACTTCTTCATGGGTCAGTTCTCACCTAATTACAAGGATATCTGCTGGTACATTAGAGGGCATAAATTTTGGCTAATGCCAGCTTGATCCCATTTCTTAGAATCTTTTGCCTTAAGAATGGGATACAGAAAAGAAAAACAGTGAGACAAAAACAGAAGGGTTTATTCTTCAGATGAAGGCAAGGCATCCTCCTGTTTGGGGTGACAGGGTCAGAGCCTCAGTGCAGTGGGACCTGGCCTTAGGTTTTCTTTGTTTACATCCATGTCCAGTTGATGCTCCCTGGAGAGGTTAGAAAGGCAGAAAAATTGGTAATGTACTTCCTGTGTGGGTTTGAGGAAATTACATTATTTTGCTTGAAGAGAAAAAGGTTGAGTATTTGAAAGATTCACTTATTTCCGTTGCAGGACAGCATATGATGAAACAAGCTTAGAGTAGAGCAGGGGTTTAAAATGGAGCCCTCCCCAGGAGACTGTGAGTGCAGGGGCCCTTGGGAACTCTGCTGAGAGTTCTGTCTGTTCACGGACCTGACGGGTGCTCAGCCCAGAGCAGATGCCTGGGAGCACATGTTGACTGAGGGACTGACCATGCAGCCACATAGAAGAAGAGCCTCCTGACAGTACAGGACTGTCATCATAGGACATTTATGAGAAGAGGGTGCTGATCATCTGTGATCTTTGAAATACAGGAAGCCAGGAAAGCTGAGAGGAGGAACTCTGTAATTGTAAGCAGCCTGTTTTGATGCCTTTCAAGTCTCTCTTCCCTGTTGTTTGCTGAGGAGCTAGAACTCATACTGACATCACTCCCTCTTGTTCTTTCACTTGGTCCCTTCATTGTAAAGTTTATTATAGGGAAATTGGGAAAGGTAAGTTAAGCCTGATGCTAGATGATGAATAAAATTTTGTAGAAAGCTTTATTTTGCAATTTCACTGAAAGTATCACAAAGAAAAAAAATACAAGCATTTGAAGACATTTGATGATGGATTCTGTACAGACTTTGGGATGCTGTAGATTTAACTGACTTTTGCAATTTTGATATATGTGGTTACATGAAATGAAAGGTTACTGAAGACTGCTCCTTCTTTAAAATTTGTTTTCTTCAATACCATTTTTTCACTGTTTCATTGAGTCTTGAAATGTTGATGTCTTAGAGCTGATTCTATAGTGTTATTTCTTCATAGACTGAAAATCAGATGACTTTTGAAGCATGATTACTGTATAGCTTATTGATAAACACAGGTTTATGGGAGCTGTTGCCTGTATTCATCTTTCCTATGTTCAGAGTTTAAAAAAATAGACCAGAGATAATGTTGCAAAAACAAATGTAAAATTAAAATAGATGTTTCCTGCCCACAGATGATGAGGATGGTATGGACTGCATGGACAATGAGAGGCGGCCGCATTTCCCTCAATTTTCCTACTCTGCAAGTGGACGAGAATAAGTCTCTTTCATTCTGCTACTTCACTGTCATCTTAGATTTATTACTGAAAATGATTCCTGGACATCACCAGTCCTAGCTCTTACAGATAGCAGGGGCACCTTCCGACACCCCAGACCAGCCAAGGGTCTTCATCCCTCGCCACCTTTCACCCTCATGAAAACATACATATGCGCAAACACACTCCAGTTTTTGTTTTTGCATGAAATTGTATCTCAGTCTAAGGTCTCATGCTGTTGCTGCTACTGTCTTACTGTTAGAGCAACTTTAAGAAGTAATTTTACAACCTTTGGAAGTCATGAGCCCACCATTGTTCATTTGTGCACCAATTGTCATCTTTTGATCTTTAGTTTTTCCCTCAGTGAAGGCTAAATGAGATACACTGATTCTAGGTACATTTTTTAACTTTCTAGAACATAAAAAACTAACTAGACTAAGAAGATTTAGTTTATAAATTCAGAACAAGCAATTGTTGAAGGGTGGTGACGTGCATATGTAAAGCACATCAGATCCATGTGTGAAGTAGGCATATATCACTAAGCTGTGGCTGGAATTTATTAGGAAGCATTTGAGAGAAGGACTGAAAAACTGTTGGGTTATATATATATATATTTTTTAATTCCTGGTGGATACTGTAGAAGAAGCCCATATCACACGTGGATGTTGAGACTTCACGGGCAATCATGAGCAAGTGAACATTGTTCTACCAAGAAATGAAGGCATATGCACAGTCAAGGTCATTTAAAGGGTCTTATGATACAATTTGCACCAGAGAGCATTTTCCCCCTGTGCTTGGAAACCTTTTTTCCTTCTTGACATTTATCACCTCTGATGGCTGAAGAATGTAGACAGGTATAATGATACTGCTTTTCACCAAAATTTGTACACCAAGGTAAACAGGTGTTTGCCTTATTTAATTTTTTTACTTTCAGTTCTACGTGAATTAGCTTTTTCTCAAATGTTAAAACTTTGAATGTCCTTTTATGATTTTGTTTATATTGCAGTAGTATTTATTTTTTAGTGATGAGAATTGTATGTCATGTTAGCAAATGCAGCTCCAACTTACATAAAATAGACTTACTGCAGTTTCTCTTGACCCATGTGCAAGGATTGTACACGCTGATGAGAATCACGCACTTTTTCTCCTATGTTAAAAAAAAAATGACAAGGCTCTGAAGTGGGATATATTGGTTAGAATTTGGCTTTGGGAGAAGAGATGCTGTCATTTAACCCCTTGGTACGGAAAATGAGAAAATCCCAACTATCCATGCCAGGGGGTTAATGAAACAAATAGATGTTGGCGTTTGCTCATCTAAGAACTGAAGTGTGATGAGACCTGGCAACACAAAGTAATGAAGAAAATTAGACCTGAGTGATGATAAGAAACGATCTTTACTTGGCAAAATGGACACATCTTGAGTATTTAGGAAGTAGACAGTAAAGGCTAAGAACCTGATGTGTTTATTGTGATCATGGTACATTTATCACTGAATTAAGCCATCAGGGAAAAACCACCCCCAGCTTTTATTTTTCTGTATATACTCATGTCCCCAAATTACAACATTTCTCACTGAAAGGGGGCATGTATGCAAACCTCATCTTTCTCCTTCATAAATGATGATCTTCAGATTAAACCCTTTGGTGCTAGGAGCTGGCATTTTCCAAAGCAGCCTATGAAGTCCTAGGGGCTGGGGGCCGTTCTAGCGGCAAGCGGAAGGCTGTCCCACTCCGTGGAGTGATCATGGAAATGTATTTTAGTCAAACTCTGACAGCTCCCAATGGAAGACTACAGCATGACGTAGTATTATGATTGCATTGTATGAAAGAGCAAGTGACTTTCTAAGTAGAATGACTCATATTCATATGCAGATGTCTTAGCCTCTTTATGCTGGAAGAGTGGATGTATAGCTATGAAGCCACTGCTGGCAGTGGGTGGGCCACTGGGACTGACGGGGGTTACAGGGCATTTTACTAAGGCAGCTAAGACATATTCAGACATCGATGTTATCCTTATTTTTCATATTTCTACCTGAGTGAAGTTCATCCTTAGTATTGAGTAGGAAGTTACAGTAAATGGCAGTTCGTTCTTACTTACACACATAGCTACATAGCTAATCTTTTTTTTTTACTTAGAATTATGTTGAATGTTTCACTTTGACAAAAAAGTAGACTAGAAGGTATGTTCTTTAAGTTGTCTTGCATTCATGATATAAGAATGAAACAGGTGAGAGGGAGAGAAGCAAGCTGAGCCTGGCTGACGTTCAGAGCCCTTCTCTAGAGGGAAGCATGGCACCGTACACCAAGCACAGAGCTTCTTGTTCTTTTGGTTCCCCCGCTCCCCGAAGTTGAAGGTGATTTCCATGACCTTGGCCAAGGACACTTGCTAAAGATTAGTGACTGGCACTCACAGTGGCCCAGGCAAGCCACGGCTTACAGTGGCTCTCAGTCCTCAGTCACACCTGGGCTCAGCCCCTTCTGTTCCACCCTCTGAGACTCCACTGGTGTCACACAAGGTAAGGTTATCTTCTTGGCTTTGATTTTGAGAATCCCCAATTTTCACTTCCAGATCGATCTGTCAGCTGCCATGGAGGAATAAGAGAAAAACAGAATGTGTGTAAAGGGAGATTTCCAAAGCTTCCCTTGTGTCGCCCATAGTTGTAGTTTTGGGTTCTGGCAGGTGGAACACCCTGAAACCCGGAATCCTTCTGAGAATACAGTTCAGACTTTGCAGACTCCAGCCCATACTAACTGTCACGAAGCTTGACTTCTTGTCATAGTGCAGCCATCTTGGAGGAAATTGGCCATTTCTGCTTGGATTATTGGCCGGGTCGCGCTCAGCTTTGCTTTCTACACTAATTACATAGCATTATTCAAGTACTGGTTTCCATTCCCATACCCGATATCCAGCTTCTTAAAGCTGACTGTTCTGGCAGGGGCCACTTGCTTCATAGAGTACAAAAGTAAGGGCCTTCCTACTAACTGCAGGGTCTCTATATTACACCTCAGCGTACACACTTTGCTGCTACTGTTTGTACTGTCTACAGTAGAATTTCCTTATCTTGCTCCTGGTAGTGCATTACAGGCAAGCATGAAATGTAAAGTATTTATTTAAATAAAAAGAAAACCTCTAAATTGGTAATTGAATTACCTCCCTGTAGCTTTATAGTTTGTGACATTTCTTGACCTTGCTAGTTCTTTCATTAGATCTGCACAAGATCTAGTCATCTGGTTAAGGGTTTTAAGCAGATGCAACTATAAACCCCAGAAACTGTATTACTATTACTGTTGGTCATACTGAAACTGTCTGTTTCCTTAAGTATATGACCCACAAGGATGTGAAATAACGAAACTGTTTTTGTACACTGTACATCCTTAGTATTTTTACACGTATAGGGATGAACATTATTTTCCTTCGTACAGACAGCTTAAATAAAGCACTATGTCAATCTGCTACTTCTCTGTTTATTGTTGTTGGATGTGGTTCTCTAATCCCCCCAAATTAAATCATCTTCAATGATATTTAATAGCCCCAGCTGGTATTAACCTACCTTGTATAAAATGTGACAGGAAAATATATCCATTCCTTGTAGCTCAGACACCTAGGGGATCATTTGTACTTCAACGAAATGGCAGTAGTGTGGTTATACAACCTTTGATGAAGGGCTGCTTCCGAGGAGTGATGCTGACCTCTCAGCACTGGATTTAGGACAGATGTCCTGTGAAGCCAGGGATGGAGTAGGTCTCAGACCCCTCATCATCTGTACCACAAATGGTTTGGACCCAGAATCTTAAGGAATGTAGCTTGTCATTAATGTCTTCCTGATAATGTACTGCTCTGCATACTTCCTTTCTTAGAGTGTATTTCTAACATGTCACGGCAAATTAACAAGCATAGACATGGGTGATGTAGGTGGGTAGAATGGCTGGACTGCAGTCTGACCTAACGTTGAATCATTCTGGATGGGGCCTTTTTCTGATTTTACCTCATAAAGCTACTATTGTAGAAACTCGGCTTCGCTCCTATGTCGAAGCCAGACAGAGGAATGGCTTTTGGGACCAGAGTGAGTCAAGCATGTATGTGTATGTCACACAGCCAAATTTGAGGGCATTCTCACACGTGCTCTTCTCTCAAAACCACTGGGGTTGACAGATCCAGGAGGCTAAAATAAAGTGACCTCTATAATTCTTTAAAGGTGCTATTTTTAGAATATTGTATAATTTATTCACAGTATATCTAAAACAGAATTAAGGACAATTAAAATATCTTATGTGACAGCCTTTATGTCTAGCACATTTGATGAAATACAAAACTTCTGAATCTGAATAGAAGTTCTGTTTCAGGCTTGAACCTTTTACATGCTCAAGAGATTCGAATGGTCTCTGTGTGTAAATCATGCCACCGCCTCCAAAGCCTAATCCACGTCGCTTCTGAGAGGCAAGGCTGAGCCTATGGTGACATCACCATCAGCTGTGTGTTGAGATGGTGATAAGGATGGTGGATTGCTGGCCAGGCAGGGCAGCTGAAGGCCAGGGGCCTGTCCCAACTGAAGCCTTGCCTTTAGTGTTTCACTGTCATGGTAAAATGTAACACAGTATGTCCAGTGTCCATTTTTATTACTTTAAAGCATTTGAAGGCTTAACTCTGTATAGTAGAAATACTATTTTAGACTAAAATAATTATCTGTGTACAGATATTTGATATACTCTAAGTAAATTTTCTAATTTCACTAAGTATGTTTTTAGGCTCCTCTCAAATACTGCATATTTGAAGAAAACTATCTGACACCACCGAGCCAAAGATGCTTTTTTTGTCTGTTTTCGTTGTTTAACAGAATGGAGAGAGTAACGCATACTGCTTCCTGGTGTCTCCTGATTGACTGTGCACAAACTAGGATGATAAAATGGAGTCTGATGGGACATTTGATTAAAGGTGAAGGATGATGATTGATTGATACATAGATCATGAAAAATGGCAAGAAAAAAAGTTTGGTCCTTAATATACTTTGGCCTAGTTAAAATATGTGCCTTTTTGGTGTGTTTTGTTCATCACTACAAGAGAAAAAGGAAACATTACAACTCAAGTCTTTAAAAAGTTCATTTATTGAAAATCATATGTATAACCTAGCATACGAATGAGCAGATTTAAACACATAACTTCAAGCCATTTCTGAAAACATACACCAGGAGCTCTCCTCATCTAGAGTCAGACTCCAGCTCCAGCCTGGCCAGGTGTGGGGACAGCGCACACGGCGATGAGGACCAGCCCCACTGCAGGCTGAGGCGGTGTCACCCTGGGAAGGTCGTGGTGCGTTGTGGCATATTAAGTCTAAATCAGATGAATGTAAATATCTCTTTGTAAATCATTTATTTCACTCTGTTCCATCCAGGTCAGCAATCAGATTGTGGCATGCTGGGTAACTGGAAAAAATAATAAAAAGTAAGTTTCAATAGATCATGTTCTTCAATGTGATTTGTCTTCTCATTTGCTGATTTAGTCACCTTTTATGATGAAAACTTTTGGAGGAAGAAAAACCTGTTGCTAAAAATGTGGAAGTTATATGTAACAAATTGAATGAAAAGTTTATGCCTCATCTTGCCCACATCAAAGCCCCTGTCACATAGGAAGTGAGGTTAACTGGTTTAATGGATTAAATTTGAAAACAAGACTACAGATACTCGTGTGTCTCTTAAATAAGGACAGTCTGGTGTTAGGACGTGGCCAGAGAGCCATCGCTTCTCCTGTCCAGGAAAGGACACATTGATTTGGGCCAGAATCTGTTCACTGAAAATTGATCTGACCTTATTACGACAGGTAAATTCTACAACAAAAACAAGGTGTAGGCCAAGTGCCCCTGAGAAATTCCTCGTGAAACAACACAAGCTGAAACACCTCCAAATTTGTAACTGCAAACAATTTGGTTAATACGTAAAGTATCACGTGGAAACTTCCCACGTGTGGGAAGAGGGGATTGGGTGTACTGAGGGTCTCTTAGTTTTACACAGAAATGTTCCAAAGCCGCTTCATGCAGATCGGGTTGGGGAAGAGTCACAAGTTAGGAAGACACTGAATACCGGCCTGGCCTCTGCTGTCAGGGCTGCTCAAGTCAGCTTAAACCACATCAGGAACTAGGGTCAGAAACCACTGGAAATGGTTTCATTCCACAAAACAGGTCTTGAGTTTTTCCTGTGCACAGTGGGGAGATGCCTGAGCCGCAGACCTCGCCCTCAAGTCCAGAGAAAAGCCAAGGTGGTATTTCCCAAAGCCCGGTTTTCACTGAGATCAGTCGGAACGCACTGCAGGGCCAGGGGCCCAATCTGGCCCTTCTCAGTTAGGAACCACCTTCCCAAAAGAGAATTGGGCCTGCCACTCCCCCGCGAGGATTTTCCAAGCTAGACGACTCCAAGGGAGGATTCTCGTCCACCTAATTTAAGCCGCCATTACTTGGGGATTTCCAAGACAGGACAATGAGTGAAACAGAATCAGAATTCATTCAAGGGAAATATATGAAAATCAGCCTGTTGCCTTTTTTAAAAAATGGGAAAAGGTCATGTTTTTACATTTCAAGTAGATTTCCCAGTGTGTGAGAGACCCTGAGGACAACTTTTTCATGAAAGGTCTGAGTAGCAGGATGGTTGCAACAGCATAGCTAGAGTAGATGTGCAGCCTGGCCTCGGACTGAATGCAGGTGAGGCTCTGCCATCCGATGAGCAGAGCCCTCCCTCCCAGGCTTGTGGAGCCAGGTGGACAATTTCCTGGGCCCACAGGGTGCTTCTGTTCTCTGGGCCCTTTCTGAGGGGCCCATGGGGAGTCCACCCCATGCCCTATTCCCGAGAGCCCTGCCATTGCAGAGAGGACTTCATTCTGTCCTCAGTGGTATACTCACAGCACAGAGACTGCCACCAACACAATCTGATTGTCACACACACGGTTTGCACCGAGCTGACCTGCCTTCTAGGCAGCTGATGGAACTGACCCAGCACAGTTCTGCTGAATGACTGGTTTGAATGACCCTCCACCCCAGCTCCATGGATTGGCCACATCAGGCAGGTGGCCTTGCTCTTGACACAGTGGCTTCCTAACCTTAGAAACTGCAGGATGACTCTGAATACAAGGATAAGCATAAATTACAACAGATATGCTTAAAAAGAAAAATAACCTGACTCACGGCCGGGCACAGTGGCTCATACCTGTAATCCCAGCGCTTTGGAGGCTGAGGCAATAGGATCGCTTGAGTCCAGGAGTTTGAGACCAGCCCGGGAAACAGCGAGACCTCATCTCTACAAAAAAGTTTTAAAAATTAGCCAAGTGTGGTGGTGCACACCTGTAGTCCTAGCTACTCAAAAAGCTGATACAGGAGGATTGTTGGAGCCCAGAATTCCAGGCTGCAGTGAGCTATGATCAAGCCACTGCACTGCAGCCTGGGTGACAGAGCACGACTCTGTCTCAACAAAATGAATGAAAAAAATTGAACTTTGGGTAGAAAACACACCCACATACACAACTTACAGAGGCTTAGTAAAGACCTGAAGTAAAATGTGTTGTGGAATTTTTTGATAAGCTCCAGGAAACAGAGATTCCTCATGAGTCTACGTAATGGTTGTGGGCGCCCAGGGGACCTAATTTATCATTATTGGAGCTGTTCCCTGCTGGCACTCATGACTCTGCTGAAAACGGGCGACCTCCTAATTCCATGGGCCTGCACAGGAGTGACACAGCTGTGCGGGCCTCACCAGGAACCAACAGAAGTCAGCCTGATCTCCCTCCTGCGGCAAATTGGCTCCAGCTGTCTGCATGGGCTTTGCATCCCACGTTCAGGTGAGAAGCGCCATTTCCATCCCCACTTCCACACTGTCGTACTGTTCACTGCTCAGCCCCGTGCCTACAGCTGTGCCTGACCCATGGTGAGCATTCAGCCAGCATTTGAGGGATGGGGAATTTATCGTATGAGGTCGCCATTTTGTCACCTACGTTTGCTGCCTCTTGGCTAACACACCATTCTCAGTGCTTCCCCTCTCTGACCCTACAGCGTGTCCCGAGACATAGAAACCTTAGTCACTGCCCACGTCTGGCATATCTGCCATCACTTCTTAGGGATATGAGTGATGCTTATTTCCAGAAAGTCCTGTCATCGACACCACAGTGGCCACAGTCTGTGGTCCAGGAGAGAAGAGCATGGGCATGCCCGTGGGACACGAGCCCTCAGCCAGCGTTTCCGTTCTGCCTTTCCATTTGCCATCACGGCCCTTGCTGTGGCTCTCCTGGGGGTGTGGCTGTCCTGCAGCTTAGAGGGGCCGACAGGGCCCCCTGGCCGCTGCTCCCCTGCCATGTTGTCCGCAGGTGGAGGAAACGCGCTCCCATCTGCCGGCACACAGCTGCTAACCATTTACTTTGTTCTCATTTTAAATCCTGTTGGGCGCCTTGTCTCCACAAACCCTGCCTCATTTATTTCTTAAGTTTGACTGTTAAGTTCTGAGGGTAAGAAATGAGTTGCTCTGGGTGACCTGAGCTGTTCCCCAGGCAACCACGCTATGGGGTCCAGCCAGGCTTTTCTGCTGCCTTGTTCCCAAGCCACTCAGAAAGGTCAGCAGCGGCAGCCTGGGGAGATGGTGGCAGCCCTCGCCCTGCTCATGGGAGACCTGCCTGGGCTTTCTACTCATTCTCTGTAGGTAGCTCTACCCAACCCTTCCCCTTGCTCCCTGCTATCCGTTCCGCTCACTGGCATGCTGTCTCTGGCCAACTCAAAAACTGGTCGTATTCCTTGTGCGTCTGGCAATAAAGCATCTATTTGTAACTGGAGAGGGCAGACCCCTCCCCCTACCTCCATCTCAGGCATTTCAAAGCTGGCCCTGGGTTGACAGAGCTTCAGGGCAGTCCCTGCCTCGCATGGCGGCTCGCCTCCCGCCTCTGCCTCCGCCTCGTGTTCTGGGTGCCAGGGCTGGGGCTCAGCAGCTGTTGCAGTCAGGCCCGGCTCCACCCTTGCCCACTTGGGTACCTGCCCCCATCCACACATCCTGTGGCCTGAGAAGAAGTTCATTTCCCTGCCCAGCCACTTCCCAATTCCATTCACTTCATTTCTCTGGGCCTCATTTTTCTATCTGTACAAAACGGTTATTTATCCCAAATGGCCCTTTCAAGCCCACAATGATCTCAGCACTAATCCTGTTGGTTTCATAATCATCTGTGCTGGGCTCTGGGTAATCCGAGGCACTTCCTTTTAAAGGGAAGCTGGTTCTTCTTTTTTCTCTGCCAGAAATCGAGTAACATGGAAGCTAACACGTCTCTGACATGACGCAGAGCTGAGATTCGAACCCAGGCAGTTCGACCTCAAAGTCCAGACCCTCCCATGTGAGGCTCTCCTGCTTGTTCTGGCAGATTAGGGAGAGCAAGTTTGATATCCATGAAATGAAGCCTCCAAATTGGGACGGCAACCTGGACTATAAGCCGTGTGAGCTCTGACTGGTGACCAACTCACTGAGGAGCGGTGCCACCAGCATGCCCTGCAGAACTTTGTGGAAGTACGGCCTTCGGGCAGGACTAGAAGGGAGCACACCTCTCCACAGCCGAGGGCAGTGGGCCACCTTCAGGCTCCTGCAGCCCTGCTGTCCCCAGCACAAGTGACAAGATCTGGCTGAGGAGCCTCATCCTTTCCGGTTCAGGCCTATCTGGGAATCTGGCTTTGCCAGCTGCAAAGCAGGACAAGAGTTCACGGCAAGGTCACAGCAGAGCAGCGATCATTCTTCCCTCCTGGCTGCCTGGCTGGGCCTCTGACAATGGCAGCCACATGGCTGTCAGAGTTCAGAGCCCTCCTTCCCTTCCACTGCGGGGCTTCGCTGTGTTGCCTCTGGGCTCTGAGATATGAGCAGGGCCACAGAAACCAGAGAAATGAAAAGGTAGCCACAGAGAAGGCCACTTGGCAGGCACAAAGTGAGATTTGACCTAGGACAGCCTGAAGCTGGACGTGGGGGAGACGCGGCAGCCCCGTGCAGGACAGGGAGGCCCCAGCACACGGGAGGCCGGGGTGGAAGCCCTGCTCTGCGGTGCCGCCTCTGCTCCCCAGGGCGCACTCAGGCACCAGCGTTCCTTCCTTCCCAACCGTGGGCTCTTGGTTTGTGTTCTTCCAGCTTCCTCAAGCCCCCAAAGTCATGAGAACTTCCACTGCACATAGGCAGGTCTGTGTTTTATATGAACCATGTTTCCATGGTAAATAGATTTTAAGAATTCCCAAAGGACAGACAGTGTCACCAACAGCAGAGAGTGGAGCCTCTGGCTGCCTCATGTTTGAAAGTGTTAAAAATAAAGACAACACTGACATTTGGGGTTGTAATGTGACGGAATTACAGTCTTTTAAAGGCAAGAACCACTTATCTACACTACATGTAATATTCAGTGTTTTGTTCACTTGTCTAATTGGATTAAA